AGCGACGATGTTAATGCTGCTGATAATTGCATTGATGCGGATAATGCAGATGAAGATGATGATGTAGATGGGTTAGTAAATATAAAACTACTAATGATGATGATAAAAGTCGGATGAGGATGAAGATAAAGTTAACAATGAGGATGCAGAACAAGCGGAATGGGGCATTTCAAGAATTGGCTTGTCTTTAGGGCCTCCAGGAGCCCTCAAAAGCCTCTTGCATGAAAGAGAAGATGGCCATCAGACAGTCTGACATTGTTTCTCTGTGGTGGTCATTCGGTCGGTCTTTGTAGATGTGTTAGAAGATGGGTTTCCGGGACATATGCAAGTCAATGCACATGTTGGAATTCCCTTGATTTCGTTTGAATAAGCGAATAGAATACATTTTCATGTTGGTCTCACCGCAAGTCTAAGGGGTTTGGCGTGGAGCTGTGACGGTTGATTTGTGCGAAAACTCCTCGACTTTCAGTCTTGCGATCTGACAAAGTACAGGTTGAGCTTCCGTCCGTCTCGTGACCGACTTCACCAGAAAAGGACAATGTGTCGCATGATGGTTGAGCAAAAGATGAAACCAAAAATCGTGGCTCGCCGCAATCCGGACCACTTTTTAGAGCCCAACCTTGTCCACTTGATGGGACATCTCATCAACTTGTTGGATGGCCTCGTCTTTTCCTACAGACTTGCGGAAAAGTGAACTGGCTGCTGATGAAGTGTGAAAGGACTCAGCACAGATTCATCGGATTTGTGGAACGGTGAGCCGAAAACCTCCAAGGCGACCCTTCTGCGGCTGCCAGTGAGACCAAATTACGAATCCCCTCCATTCACCTCTTCAAACGGAATGAAACTATTTAGAGATTCTTTATGAGCAAGTTTATTTACAAATTTTTTCACTTTGTCGTTCGTTCAGTCGGTCTTTAGGTTGGTCGTTAGGTCCTTATTTTTGTCTGTCGGTCTGTCGGTCGTTTGTGTGAATTGGGGCTGGTGGCGTCGCGTGGAAAATGCAAATGAAGCCTTGAAGAGAGGCTCCAATGAAGCGATGAGACGGAGGCAGCAATGATTATCCGTGATTGAAGCAAAATCGTCAAGCGCACGATTAATTGAAGGGTGTGTTGCATGAGGCCAACGTGTAATATTCATCACATTAGACGATATTACTTATAATCAAATTAAGTAGTATACGATATTAAAAAAAACTCTTGCATAAGAGCACGAGAGTGGCAGTAGAATTGCCTCATGATGAAATTGCATAATAATCAGTCTTCATTCGCCAAAAACCTTTTCTTACTTGGTCCGAAGTGCCATTTATACCCCGTCTCATCCTTTCGCTATCTTAGCCAGAGAATAAGAAAGAGGACCTGCTGAAGGGTTTCAATTAAGAGATGAGGGAGAGGCGTAAAGAGGTGGACTCACCGGGCGGCCGTAAATACTTACCCGTGATTGGAGC